CAAGCCAGCTGGCCTGTCACACTCACAGAACCCTCTTGCCCCATGGTCACACAGACCACTGCAGCCATTGCAGCAGACGACTTCAGCAACATTTCTGCCTAATGTACACTGACACTGCCTGAGTTCAGAAAATATGTGTCTGTTACTTGATTCCAGCTATCCTGTACTTTACTATGAAAGAAGTTAGCATAGAATAGCCCTGATCAGTTCGAGCTCCATTCAGAAAAAATGCATTTTAAAAGTTGTAAGCGTGTCATCTTGCTGATGTAACAGAGTTAGAAATAATCGCTTGTGAACTTCTACAAAATTGATATGCTTGTGTTACATTATGTAGTTTTGGAGCCACCTGGTGGGTTAATAGCGCAACTGCATACACAGGGTTCTTTCTCACGTATCGTACGTGCCTCTAGCAAAGAAAACACTTCCAAGCTAGAGGTGGGTGCACGTGAGCAATGTTGTGATCAATATTTCCATGTTTAATGTTTTAAAATTGGTTTCATGACTACTAGCTGGCGCGGCAAAGTTTCCATTCTTTCTGTATTCACTGGCATGGACCTTACAGTACATGTGTACAGACTAAATGGACTCTGTAAAGTATTTAAGGCTGGTTATCATTAACTTTTCAGACTTTCTAGAAATAAAGTAACCAGCAATCACTCCGCAACCCTGACAATTTCCCTTTCAATTTTATGAGCATGTATTTTGACTGTAAGCACTACTAGCATGTAATATAAAAGTAACTGACACGTACATGCAGAAATAGTAACTTTATTCATAAGTAGCACTTTCGTTCGTAGGTTGAGCTAACGTTAGCTGGTTAGCCAACCACCTGCTTGCAAGCTCCCGACCGTGATGTTTTTAGTAGTTATTTTGGCATCAGTTTGATGCAACTAAATCACCGCAAATTGTTAATAGTTATGGCGACTTGTGTTTATTTGTGTTGTCGCATTGTGTGTGAACACTCATGCGAGTAGTCCAGCAGTCAAACTCGCGCAATAAACGCAATGGGACTTTAACATTTGCCTTGTGTGCATAAGATAGTACAAAACCTCCATCCTCCTCCTCCTCCTCCTCCTGGCTCTTCTCACTTGCAGTGGCTTCCTCAGCTCTGCTGCCTCCTCTTCTGCTTCTTGGTAAAGTATACCGACAGTAGCTGCTAACATTACCCAGTTCATCTTCAATCTTAGATATTTTACGTACTTCTACTTTAAATCAAATACGAACCATAAACAATAGCCTTTACTGTTTTTCCCCTTTTCTTTAATTTGCCTTAAAATAATAATAGAAAACACTACATTGAGTGGAAGAGGCAACGTTGATTTACATTTGTGGAAAACAATTTTTTATTCAACGGTGGCTTGGACTAATGTTGTGATCAGTACAGTCACGTGATGCAGAGAAGAACAGTGTGAACAGTCTGCTGGTAACGATCATTCATTTAGTATGCAGAACATACTGACTGAGTATGTAGTAGGCAGTACTTTAGTATCCACATCCAGCGCACTGTGCTCTGCCCACCCTACGGCACTAAACCTGTGTACAGTAAAGTACTGAGGATGGGAGGAGGACTGTTACTCATAAATTAGACTCATGATGAACTCATTCTTTGTGACTCATCAGCCCAAGTTTTGTTGTGGTACAGGAAGCCACTGAATTGATACAGTACTTGTAAAATTGCTCCCGTGTGAGATGATACAACAGCCATGACAAAAAAGCACGTATATCATTTGCATCATGTGCTCAATCAAGTGTACAATTTTACTTTCTCTCTCTCTCTCTCTCTCTCTCACACTCACACTCACACACACACACACACACACACACACAAACACAAACACATGAAGACACACACACTCTCACATACATGAAGTGAATAGTTTGGGCACATCTCAAAGGACAGCTTCTGCATGAGTTGGTCCATGATGGAGAGGAGGGGGCCTTACAGCTGTTTGGAGCAGAATATGCCAGCCACTGACAGTGCACCAGGCCAAGAGCCTGCATGCATGCATGCACGCACACACACACACACACACACACACTGAGCTGTAAAATCATCCTCTAGAATCTCCTGCAGATGTGGCTGATTATGACTTTGCCTTATCCTTGTGCAGACCCAGTTCTGACTGAAGATGCAAGAAACCTACTAGTCTGTTGCAACTATCTTAACTAGCGTTAACATAATCTTTAAATAACCCTGTCCACATGAACAGTCAGCCATACAGTCATGGGTTCAATTATGCTTGATAATAGCAAAGTAAATGTGAAACACTGTCTAAACTACAGCCTTTAATGTCCGAGGGCTTGTAAACAAACCAAACTGACAGATGTGTTTCTACAGGTGTCACAATGTTGGAAGGAATTTACTGCAGAGCTTTAATGAAGCATTGTCATAAGCCCAGATACAGTAGCTGAATGACTATTTTTGTGGTTTTACAGACTCTTCACAAGTGATTGCCATGTCAGTCTTCAGCTGAATGTTAAGGTTGTAAGGAAGTCACTGTTCCAGCAGTCTGAAAAACCCAGTCCAGTATCCCTAGGAAATATGTTTAGGGCCAGTGCAGGAAGTGGTGTGGCTTTTATGTAACAAGGTATAACATATGTTACAATCATGCAGGAGACCGGCGTTGCATCCTGTCATAGACCAGTAACAAAGGTTTTTATTATTTGCAATCACAATATTTCCCCAACACCAAGTTTAGTTTAGTTGCTTAACCCCAACCCTACCATAACCACAGTCTAACTGTAACCATACGAGTTGTCATGGACAGATATTGTAGAAAGCCAGAATTTTAAACCTTTGGCAATGGACGTAAAAAAAACTCATTGGCATTCTTGTTTTGTTTTGCAGAACTGTCAAATATCAACATACTTGTCTGGTTTGGGAAAGTAATACTATATACAGTATGTCATAAAAGTTGTATCAAGCCTTTTGAGGCTCCAGGGGGAGCTGTGAGAAGTCAAGTAATATCACTTGAATCAGCGTGTCGGCTGTATCTGAAAAATGTAAGTTGGAACAAAGGTAGCTTCCCAAACCACTGTAACCTGCGAATTGCGCTGTGGGTAATGTTGGCATCAGTTTTTGAGAAAGAGAAAGACTGAGTGAAAAAAACCCTGATGATATTTATGGGTCTGCTGCATCCATGTTAATTACGTTTTTTAAAAACCTGTCTCTTTTAAGACCTACTGTAAGCACTTGGTGTAGTAATGCACCCAGTACTTGAGAAATGAACCAGCTCCTGTGGACTGTATCAAAGACCTGCAGTAGACCTATGTACTGTACTGGTTAAAATCACACACTACATCAAACTATAAATGTCCTTGCCAAAAGTCACGAGTGTATGCATATATGTATGTATGTACATAAATGAATTGAATAAATTATTACAACACATTACTCTTGCAAATTGTTGGCTTTTTGATTAGTTTTTTTGTTTCCCTTATTAAATTGGAAGTTTTATTTGTCTATTGTGTTTTTCTATATCTTGATAGTGTCATCCATTGAATCAGGATCAATCCCCTTTTTCTTTTTTCTCAGGACTTCTCTCGATTTGTTTGTAAAGTAGCTATATGAATAGGAAGAGTGTAAACTACTTCAGATGCTACAGCTCTACCTGTCTTCTGAGGGTGGAGCAGAACTGAGCTGGAATCCGAGACTAATCATGGGCCAAAACAGAGCAGTTTCATCATTTGGCCTCAGATGGAGGCAGAAAAGGTGAGATTGTGTGATCAGCGAGAGAAACAACGCAACCAAAAGTACATCACTGCTGGTGCTGCAGAATACATCAGAATACCTGGGTCACTATTTGAATTGTTTGGATTTGTATACGCCCACTGGCCAGCAAAGAAGTTAGAAAGGTTTACCTCTTTTCAGTTGCACAGCAATGAAAAGGTCACTTTTATAATAGTGTTATGAAGGTGTGGTGGTAGCCTGCCCTCCTCAGGTGTATGTTGGGGTGGGTGGGGGGTGTAAAACAAATTGTATCTTGCATATGTAGAGCAACAATAGGACACACAGTGGACATAGGACATATCAGAGTGTTATCTTAATCATACAGATGGTGCTTTGGATCATCTGCTTGGTCTTTGGCTCTGACTCACAAATATCACAGTGAATCTGGTCACAGCCGAAAGGGACGCACTGGGGAACTCACCTCACGGATCTCTCATCTGCCTTGTGTGTCAATGTCATGTGTCTGTATGAAAGTGAGTTCCAGCGAGGTTCACTCCAGTTGTACATCAAAAAAGGAAATCTGTTTTTATTTGATTTTTGTGGAGCATGGAGTGCTGCTCGAGGATTCTCTCGCATTTGATGGCATTTATAAAAGTGGGAAAGACACACTCACAGATGCACAGCCTATCTGTGCACAAGCTGAATACCCTTATGGCTACAGTAATTTCTCTAAACTCACATCAAAGAAAATCACTTATCTCTTTTTGCCTTTAGGCTTCTCTGCACTGTACAATAAACACAAGAGGCTGCAAACGGCACCCAGACAGAAAGAGGAAGTAAAGCTTTGATTCAGTCAGAGCTAGGACACCCCGTTCTCATTGTTGATTCCTGTTATATCATTTCACTTGGAGTGAAATGGGGCATTTTTTTGTGGACTGGCGCAAAACGCACAGCGCATCCAGCGTCCAAAATACGCATAATTGAAAAGCTACACCGCGGTTTCCCCTGGCAAGCAGTTCTCACGGAGCTACAAAACCTTACATAAACTTGAGCTATTTAGTCACGGTGAAACGGACCACAGCCGAGATGATTGGTAAGGTCCCTCACCGTGTGGAAGTACCACGAACACACTATTTAGGCACGAAACAGCCAACAGATGTGATAAAGTTGAAGTTGCACCAGAGAGATGCGGGGATTTATCAAGTCAAAACCAGATGTTTAGTCAATTTAGCAATAACATCACCACACACATCAATACTTATATAATTCAGCGATGTATTCACGCTGCATAATTAATTGAATGCATGCAAAATAACAAGTTCCAACTCACCCATTCCAAGACACGGATAAATCCCAGAGGTAATTTTAGCACTTGAAATGTCCCCACAGACGCGAGCTGCATAAGGACACAGAGGGAGTACAATTCTCATTTCTATCACCAATTAACGACACATTGGCAAATTTGGCAGGTAATCGCACATATCTCTGAGTCCAAATGAACTTGGTATTTGTTGACTGACTCACCTGATCAGCGGTGTCCATCTCAGCAGGAGGCTACTTTCTTTCTTAATTGTTTGATTGGTTGTAAACAATCGGAATCCGCAAGCCAGCGACCTGATAGATGTCTGTCGCGCGTAACAGTCAGGGGCTCTCGGGTCTGATTCCGACTCTGACCGGAAAACCCCGAGTCCTTTCCGTCTTTGTTTGTCATGGAAACAGGCGGGGATTGGCCTTCACAAAGAGGAGTGACGCCTTAAAAAGATTTTTTTGTTATTTGTCGAGAACTGTTTTATACACAGTGAGGGAACTGATTTGGTATTTTATCAATATGAGGCGTTAATATTGTCAACACACACTGAGCATATAGATCTACAGAGCTGCAATTTAAAAAAAAAAGGTCTCCAGGTAAAATCATCTCAAACCTTCATTTCAAAATCTTCCCTGTCCATATTTGTTTGGGTCAAGGTCAAGAGAAGCTCAGAAATTATTAGGAATTGGTTGTAGGCTATTATTTCAAATCATCTATGACTGTTATAATCATTTGTAGGCTGCAGCTAGGGCATCAATATATTGTAAAAATGTATTCTTATTATATGCATTTTAATAATAGACTACAATAAATTTCCTATGCTTAATCAAACTTGACTGACCAAATTGACATAATAAACAATGTTGCATAACACAATTTCTTTCACAAAGGTTAAGAAATGGCCTGCACATTCTCCTTTATCTGTTAGAAAAGTCATGTTTATACTGAAAAAGTTTTGGCTTTAAAGTAATAGTTTGGCATTTAGGGAAATGCCTGGATTCAAGGCCATCACTTTGTGTTGAAAAGTGGTGGGGACATAAGGGCTCAGATTAGGGGCCTGATGATATGAGACTTGACGATGCTCAAAAACAAGACGAGAAGATTTTGAAGAAATATGAAATGCTGAAATATATAAATGGTGGTCTGGGGGTCCTGGACAATGCACATTTGTTTCTTCTATATTTAAATGCATTACATGTTTTTTTTATTGTACAAATAAACCTTTCTCAAAGCTTTTTATTTGTTAGTTAACATTTTTTGGTGCAGTCTATTTTTCAGAACATTTTTTAACAAATGCTTTCAAAAAGTGGGTGGGACATGTCCCCAGTGTCCCAGTGTTAATGACACCTATGCCTGTATTTACTTTTTGATTAAAAGATCAATACCACTTAGATCTCTATGAACTGAGTACAGAGCTGGAGCCAAGTGATTAGTTTAGCTTAGGATGAAAGCATGGGGGAGAAACAGCTTGACTGGCTCTATCTAAAGATAAGAAATATGCTTATAAACACTTCTAAAGCTCAGTAACATGTTTCAAATGTTTGTTATATTCATACACAAACAGAAGTCTAAATACAATAATTTGTGATTTTACAAGAATTTGTGTGCTATGTGCTACAGTCACTGCGACTTGGGTTGTTGACATCACGTTACAGTAAGATATAGGTGACACTACATAATTCCCCTACAACCATAAATGGATGTTTTGCCATTTCCTGCAGATTAAACACATGATGTGTTAAATAGTGAGCTTTAGAAGTGCTAATTGTGTTTGTTATGAACTTTGGACAGAGCTATTCTAGCTGTTTCCACCTGTTTACTTCTTTATACTAAATTAGGCTAACCGTCTCCACCATATTTAGCGCGCAGGCATGAGAGTGGTTTCAATCTAATTATTTAATTCTTGGGCAAGAAAATTAATAAGCATATTTCCTAATAGTCTAGCTATACCTTTAAGCAGATTTTTTTCTGAGCTGAATCCTGTGTAGACTGAAAGGTCAGCTTGCTATCTCCCAAAACTTTGGAATAATGGCTCAAAAGTAGCAGTGCTATAAAATAAGTTACAGCGCTTACCCCACTGGAAACTTGACTCACTTCGTAGGGACCTTATGCAATTTGTGACAGCCAGGAACAAGCCAGGCTCTCCATTCATGCATGCTCATACACACACCTATGACACACACACACACACACACACACACACACACACACATACACTGTGATGCAAGTACTGCGGAAACAGCAGTTAGTTCAAATATTTCTGTCAAGGGAAGTCTAGAAAACCTCCTGCCTGTTTGTGTTAATGATTAAAAGACATTTTATTCTCAGTCACAACTCAGTGCAGATTAGGACTGGACCTGCATGTTGAGTGGCGAAATTCTTTCAATTGCTGCTATGGAGGAGAAGATATATTAATGTAGGCCAGCGGAAGAAATATGTGTCAGAGAATTTTTGAATGGTTAAGCTAAAAGTCAAGTTCTCATTGCAGACTTATTCTTGAGGTTTTACTTGGTTAGAAATACATTATGTCAACATCTATTCAGGTAAACTGGTTCAATCTAACAATCAGTGTTAAGCTTTACTTGTAGTAGGCCTACACTACTTGTCTTTGACCTTTCATGTCACAAAAGGCCTAAAAATGTCCACAGAATCTATACCGGAAGGATTAAAATTACATCTGGTCAAAAGCAAGCAAGACGCTGTGCCTGTGAAGGGGTCTTGGCAGACAACAAAAACCACAAATTCTAAACAGTGTGTACCACTGTGTAATGAGGTAAGTGTATGTAACATATGGCAGGAAGTAAATCCAAATGACACAGTTCACAGTAGAGAGATGTTTAGAGAAGCCGGTGTTCAACGACTGAATGCTCTGCTGTGCTTTTTTTTCAGTGTACCTCTGTGTGAAATAAATCTTTAGAAAGACAACTGAGACTGAAAATGTAACAAAATGTAGATGTTGAAACTGAATGTCTGCAGGTTGTTATGTTGTTTTGCTGCTCCTTGCTCTGCAGTTTGGCCTTCCTGGCCTCTCCACTGTCCTTTCTTTACCCGCTCCCAGGCCAGTCAGTGAGTTGTTCTCATTTCTCTTTTGCTTCATCCACTAAGTACCTTTAGGAATTATAAGCCTTTGTGTTCACACTGGTCACAATTATGTGTCATCTTTTCTGCTCAACCTTCTGAGTGTGTGTGTAAGAGACACCATATTACAGATGCCCCATTGCAAGTATGTGATGAGTCACTTGCTGTGTCAAAAAAACAAACAGGTAATGAATGATTGTCAATATTTTAACACGGTTGGATCCTTCAGTAACACTGAACCTGTTAAGAGTTTATGGCCGCTGATTGACCCACTGTGACTGTTTCCTAATGCCTCTCGGCTTCATTGTAAAACATACTTTTTTTGTATACTTAATGTAACTCTCAACTGGTACTCTATTGTAAATAAGTTTCAAGAGATGACCTAAAAAGACCTACTTTTATCCTGCTTATCAATATGACTTGAGTGAACTTTGTTTAATCTGGTAAAACATTGTTTTACAGTTCCTTATTACAGTCTAATTGGACACTAGGACACTATAGACAAAATAGAGACAGTGTCAAATTGACAATGACACAGGTATAAAAGAGTGGTAAAGTAAGAGGTAAAGTCAGCTCGGAAAGCATCTATCTAAACTTTGCTAACATTAGCCACCCTACTGGTCACACCAGAGCAAGAGCTGTAGCAGCAAATCTCCTGGGTGTATTTGAACAAGGGTGTGTTTTATTGTGATTCAACTTTTAATGTGTAAAAGGAAGAATGTACTATTTTGTACTTTAAAAGTTACATAGTCTTGCTTTAAATGTAGCGGGTCTTTAAGGAAATTCATCTGGAAACCAACAACTGCTTTTAAACTGAACACAGCTAAACTTACTAATGTAACAGTCACAGAACTTTGTCTCCATTTTCCATATAATAACTACCAAATAATATTATATAGACCTACAAAATGTTGTGTTTCATGTATTGCATTTCTTTTTCACTTTTACATAAATCTTCCATCTGGCTGTATGGTAGGCTACATTATATGCTGTCACTGCAGTTGGTTGTACAGTAGGAGTAGAGGAAAACTCCATAATATTCAAAATCTCGCCATGTTCTTTGCGCATAAAAGGTAATTGCTGACTTTTGGGAACTTTAAACCAAATCATTTAAGTGGAACTTGACAGGCACATTATGCCCTGTGGGGAAACTTTATAATCACTAAAAAAGTCAGCATATTGCAGGAAAAAGGAGGCATATTGTAATGTTGCAACTGCTTTATCATAGTTGTCTCTTCTCACTTTCCTGTGATTGGGTTCACCCAAAGACATCAGCAGGTGATAGGCCGGCCCTTGCAGCTCATGGCCCGTCTCATCCAATCACTGCTTTTTTTGCATGTTATGCAATTGGGTGGCCTGCATGTGTTGCTGTGGGGGGGATTAAAACCAACGGTCTCTGCCCGACCTCTCTTTCCAGGCAAGCAGAGGAGCAGCGGGTGATCAGGCGGGGGTAAGGGCACATACTTTAGTTCTTCCCTGCTGTTTCATAGTTTTTTGCATGATGCATAACGCTTACAATAACTGAGAGTGCTGACTGTTGATTGGTCTCCCACACACACACACACACACACACATTGTTTGTATTTGCAATAAGAGACTGCTTGTGTTCCCGCAGCAAGTGTTGAGGCTTTTGGCATTAAACTTCAAGATTATGGTTGCTCACGACTTCATAACGTGCGGTGGGGATAAGGTGTGAGCACTAACATTGTTAGTTTGTGGTAAAACTTCCCGTCTTTAAGTGTCTGTCTGTGAGCGTCCCTTCAGTGGGCTGTCAAATCCCTTCAGCCACCTTCGTGCTCCGGGATTTGATTGGCTGGCAGGACAGCAGGCCCCGCCCCTGCCTGTTCAGGGTCAGCAAACTGTCGAACAGACAGACGCACAGTCATAATTTCTGAGCACTTTTTCATTCATTTAGAATATGCTGTATACTGCTTGCATGGTAGGGATCATATTAGAGTATATCTAGATGAAGTTACAAACATTAGACAAACAGAAGAATGACAAACATTACAACAGAAGCAAAACGTCACTCTGCATGTAATATTTAGTTATAGGGATACAGTACATTCCAAAAATGTTAAGATCTATTCCAAATACTACTGTACAAGCTTGATAAATCATCTCGACATGTGCACATATCTTCTGCCTCTGTCTTACTCTTCAAACAATTGCTCAAAAAGTCATACTACCACAGAGCCGCTCACAGTGCTCTTTAATGTAGTCACAGTGAATGTCTCTTCTGACCAAGTGCAGGTGTGTCGTCTTGAGCATATTTTGAGGTCAGTCGGTCAGTTGAATGGAGCATTAAGTGCCAGTTCAGTTGCGTCATAGATGCAAAGTACTTGCAAGTTTGAAATATCCCATGCAAGATGAAATCCTTTTAGTCCAAGAAACCCTTACTTGCTATATAAAATTTATTTTTTAATGGAACATAATCCACATCCTTTGATTGCTTGCACTGATTCCGAACATATTTTCTGGTTGTCCTGGTCCATGTTGCCACCTCTCCAGAACAAAGTGAGGTATGAAGATGAAGATTGCAGTGATCGGTCAGAGTCTGTTCGGCCAGGAGGTTTACAAGGAGCTGAGGAAGGACGGCCACATTATCGTAGGAGTCTTCACCATCCCTGACAAGGATGGCAAGGCTGACCCATTGGGTGAGAACTTTACTGACTGGGACCCCCAGACTTTAGCTTTGCAATACGTACATGGCTGCAGGACCACTTAGAGTGAAATATTAATGCAAATGCGGTATTTCCACTTTCACTAAAGCCTTTTTGAATGTGAGTCTCCAAGCAAAATACATCATGGGCACGCCTGCCATGACTCAGGATGGTGCCAAGTGAAATTTGGACTTTTCACACCACTGATTTTATCACTTTGTTCCTCTAAAAAAATCAATGTAGCTTTCCTTTCAAAGTTGCAAAGTCATTAGTATTGGTATAAGGGCATTGTGTCATCACCTGCACGCTATCTTTATATTTGACAATATCAGGGCAATAACCAGCAGTACAATGGCTATAATTCGATTTACAGCACTATAGAAGAATAAGGAAGGGATTTAAATCAATGTAGTTTAGATTGTCTGAGTTAGAACTAAACATTCTCCATGATTTAAATGGTGTGCTTAAAATTATAAATGCTGAGCTATGATTGGTCAGCATGAGCTGCTTGACTTTTCTTATGGAGGTAGAAATTGTTGAGAGTGAAGACAACATGAGGTAAGTTGGTAAAAGGCTCACTGTCTTCCCCTCATTTTTCAAAATCCTACAGTAACACCGTCACTCATCTTAAGGAGCTTTCACCTGGCGTTTGGTCAGTGGTATCCAGACTTTCTCTGTCATGATGAAAATACTTTTAAATCTGACTTCCAGGCTCTGAAGATGCAGAGGGTGATACTCTGTGGATCTGAAACTGAAAATCCAGCTTTTGAAATTTTACACTCCACCACAAGTGACATAGCATTACACAAGTTAGTAACACGACATTGTGGGTGGTTGTGGTCAGAAGTTGAAACGCAATATAATAATATAATATCTTGGTTCTTGGCTCTCTGTATGTCCTCTATCATCACTACCATATCCTCTTATCCTTGTATCCCCAATACCATAGCTCATGCACAAAGCTCAACTTTCCAACATCAAAGTAATTAAGTTAATTTCAACGGCAAAGACGCCAATCTTTTTTTTTTTTTTTTTAAACCTGTCCTGCCCAGCAGCCTTGTATAGAGTATGATGAGCTGGATACGATATTGTGCCAGACAGATTTTACTTTAACAAGAGAATTATTATTAAAATACTCCTTTGTCTGTTTTATTATTTATTTAATTATGTATTGATTTGTCACCGGGCCGGACAGGGGGGCAGATGTGGGGATGGGGGGGCACAAACAGACAGCACAGAGAAAGGACAACACCTGTAAGAGAAGGGGGATGGAAGGTGGGGACAACAGGGAATAGCAGAGGGAAACACCAATTGCAGAAAGCAACGAAACCTGCAATAGAACAGAGAGGGGGGCTTGGGGAGGAGAAAAACAACAAACAAACAAACAAACAAACAAACAATAAAAATAATAATAATAGTAAAAGACAACCAGCCGAACAGCAGCAATAAGAGA